CCATATTAATGGAACATGTTAAGAATAGGGAAAATTGGGCTGGGGATGTGGCTCAAGCGGTAGCACGCTTGCCTGGTATGCATGCGGCCTGGGTTCGATCCTCAGCACCACATACAAACAAAGATGTTGTGTAACCCGAAACTAAAAAATAAATATTAAAAAAGTTCTCTCTCTCTCTTAAAAAAAAAAAAAAAAAAAAAAAGAATAGGGAAAATTGGGTGTAAGGTATATATATATATATATATATATATATATATATATGGGAACTTCCCATACTATCTTCTCAATTTTTCTGTAGATTTAAAACTGTTCTTTAAAAAGTCTGATTTTTAAAATTCAAGGTTCATAAAGACTGATATCCCTAACCCACCTCCTCCAAAAACAAGAGAAGAAAAAAATACTTTTCAAATCAACAAAAAATATGAGCAAACAATTAGAAAAATTAATGCTAAGGACATGAACAAGCAATTCAAAATACATTAAAATGCTAAATGGAAAGACATTCAGATTCACAGGGATGGACAGAATAAATGAGATCATGTACTTATCATGCTATCTGTTATATAATGAATGAAGCTGTTAAAATATAACAAGTAACCAAAGAACTGAATTTTTTTTTTATTTTATTTTTTTTAGTTTTTGGCGGACACAACATCTTTGTTTGTATGTGGTGCTGAGGATCAAACCCGGGCCACACGCATGCCAGGCGAGCGCACTACCGCTTAAGCCACATCCCCAGCCCAAGAACTGAAAATTTAAATAACAAAAATATATAGAGATGTGTATGAACTATGTATATGTGTATATGTATGTAATCTGTATATATGTAATCAGGTTGGGAAAGGATGAGAAAACTTATGATGCCCAAAGTTGGCCAAAATGTGGGCCCTTGAATAGGGAATAATTGCTAATTAATCTGGGTTTCTTTGGGGGATGATGAAAATGTCCTAAAATGCATTATGATGATAATTGCATACCTCCATGAATATACTAAAAAGTGTTCAATTTTATACTTAAATGGGTGAACTTTGTGATTAGCAAATTGGATCTCAATAAAACTAATTTAATAAAAGAAAAAATGTGGTCCTTTAATTAGTTTAATGGTAGAAGTGTAAATAGGCACATTCTTTTCCAGAAACATTTAGCCAGTATCTTCTCAAGTATAAAATAACAACATGTGTACATATACCCATATTTCATTACACACACGCACACACGCACACACACACACACACACCCATTCTTTTGACTACAAAGATTTCTGTATATGGATATTCACTGCGACGATGTAATAGAGAAAAGCTGGAAATAGTCCAAAAGTCTATCAATAGGGCGTTAGTTTAAAAAATCATGGAAAATGTGACATGTATATATGCTGATATAGAAAACTGTCCAAAAAATAATATTTGGTGAATTTTAAAACTTGTTAAAAGGAAAGAATTAAACCAAGTTAGAAATACTTAATTCTGAGATCTTCTATTTATACTTCAAGGGGATTAAAACTGCATGCAAAATTGTGTGTGCATGTATATACGTAAGTATATTTTCTAAGAAAAGCATCCACAGCTTTTACTGAATTTTAAAGAAACATGTGACCTTCGAAAAGGGTTACTAAATAATCACTAAAAAACCTCCTAAGATACTGAATATCTGAGGAATGTAGTTAAGTTATACCCAAGAGAGGAAGCCTTTGGGGAGGAAAGAAATTCTCCCAATTAAGCTTTTAAGAACATACTAAATGCCTCTACCACAAAAACACAAATTTTTATCCCAAGACTCCTACATCTAAGGGTGTAAAGGGAGTTATTCTTCAGTTGAGCCTATGTTCATTCACCTGTTAATTACAAACCTCAACCAAAAATTAAAGAGCAAAAAGAGTCTTCAAATTGTATGACTACTTCATGCTTAAATTACAATTAAAAGTAAGAACATACCAAAGCAAAGGGAAACAAAGTAGTAGTGCCGCTTGACCCAGTAGAGGAGCTGATCTGCATGATAGCTAGTACTCACACATGTTAAGACAAAGGTCCAGGAGTTAGTGGTGACTTTTTTAAGATAAGCAAATTAAAATAAGATAAATAAATCAGGTCTTATATATAGTTTTGTGAGCAAAAACAAATCTCTTTAGGCAGATGAGACAAGAGAAGTCTAATATTTTTGGAATTCATGTTATATAGTAAATTAATATTTTCAATATTACAATCATTTTAGAATCAATGGGACTTAATAAAGTTGGAATAAATAAGTATAAAATAGCAGGGATACTCTATCCTAAAATAAAAAATATGCCTTAGAACAGTATTTCTTAATCAGAGGTAGTTTTGTCTCCCTGTAGGACATGTGGCCACATGTGAACACATTTTTATATCGTCGGGATTGGGGAGGTGCTGCTGGAATCTTATGGACAGAGTCCAGGGATGTGGTTAAACATCTTATATCCTCTGCTCTGTTCCAAAATGTTGATGGTGCCATGTCTTAGAAACTCAACCTTCAAGTAGGCTAGGGGACCACTGAAATCTACTTTGAGATTATCACAGAAGTCCTAAATCAACAAGGGTTTGTTTATTTGTTTAGAAATACTGACACCCTGTCAGTAGCATGGGAAGTATTGACATCCACAATTTTCAAAGTGTTATTCTAAAGACAATAATTGACTCTTCAATTTATCTACATTTTTGAAATAATACATAAAGTTCTGAGACAGGCAAAAACTGATTTCTGAAATCAAAGTGGTTCCTTTGGAGAGAAAGGAAAGGGAGAGAACACAAGAACGACTTCTGGAATGTTCATAATTCTGCATTTCTTAATCTGGGTAATAGTTATATAACTGTGCTCACTTTGTGACAATTCAGCAAGGGGTATACTAATAATCTGTGCACTACTCTATACAGATAACACATCAACAAAAAAATGTTTATTTTTAATGGTATATATTCATACCCTAAAAAGATGAACATTTTGATCCAGAAAGCTAAATTAATATCAACTACAAAAGTAAAAGTGTTTTGTTATATAGGCTGCCTTCCAAGAATTCAAGAAGGATGACACCCCCAGAAAGCTGTAAATAGCATACTCAGCACTCCTGCAGCATTCAGCTGCACACTCAAGCCACTATATATCCCTTGGCATCAATCCAAAACTGTGATAAACACTAACAAATGCGGTCCAATTTATTCCATGAACAGTTTGTTCAGATTATTCTCCTAGTGTTAAACTGTGAACTGTTATCAGAAAACAGACTTTATCAAGTAAATGATGGTTTCTCTTTTCTAATGCCACAAATTCTCAAATCTCCCCCAAATTAAACCCTTCTTGGTCCCAACTCCTCAGGATTTCTCCATGCTTTTTCTAAAAGTACCCACCATTGCCTCTCCCAATATCCACCTTTACACTTCACCTTCACTCTCACACACACAAAAAAATTCATATTCAAGCTCAATTCAGAGACCTATCTTCCCAGCCACATTTGTACCCTCTCCCAAGACTTCATAATACAATCCAAACCTCACTACCCTCAAACTCCTAAGATCCTCCATAAATTCCCTGCCCAACACCACCACAAAATCAGGGCACATGCTACCCTGTTCTTTTAAATCCTCTTCTACCACAGCTTTGCTTCTGCAAACATTTCTACCTCCCTACTCAATAGCCACCACTGTGACTATTATCTCCAACTTTTCTCTTCCCTTTAGTCTCCTGCTTTCCTATAAGATTCATTCCAATCTCACCCTCTCCCCACAACTGCTGCTTTCTTCTTTACGAACCCTTCCTAAGGCCCCAGAGCAGAGATGGAAAGTTACAGAAAGAGTATGAAGGAACTTGCTCTGTCCTATGTGAAGTTATGAGTGAAGGTGGCTCAAGCCTCAAGCAAACAATGCTGTGCAGGGACTACAGAGTCAGACACTGGATTCTGAAAGCCAGTCCCACCACTCACTAACAGCAAGGCTTATACTCTGGTTTCTCTCAGATGGTATAAACCTTTTGCCTTTACTAACAGGAAGGCTTTGGAAAAAGCTTCCATTTCTCTAACTGCAAGATGGGAATAACAGAAACAGCTATCTCATAGTGTTATGAGGATTCAATGGCTAATGACCACTGAGCACTCTGCTCAAACCCAGCATGGTAAACTCTCAATGACTGACAGTTTGTTTTGGTCCGTTGCTGGGAAGGAGGAATAAAGGGAAGGTGAAAGACACTCTAACTCTCTCATTAATGCTAAGATTTCTGTAAAAACTCCCTTTGGGGAACAGAAGAAGGACAATAGGCGGAAAAAAACTCTACAGATTTGTGGATATCACAGATGTTTATCAGATCCCCAAATTTTTTGTTCCCTCTTTCTTATCCTTCAACAATGTGGATCAAGAAGCCTTCAAAGAGAAGTCCCTCCATCCTGAGAGTCACTGGAGGGAATGAAGTAGCAAAGAGTACACTTTATTACTAAGTCGCATTCCTTGGGGGTCTGAGAATTGGAAAGGAAACCTCCAAGTTCCAATCACATTTCTCTAGAGAGACGGAGGAGAGCACTTCGTAGTAAAGGGAGATGAGAGTAAGTGCGAGAAACCCTAACTCCTCGCTGTTCCAGCAGCAGAACACCAACTGGTTTCTCCGGGTGGGGACGGAAAGGGAAAGCGCTTCGCCGCGTCTCCTGGGGCACAGGGCTTCTCCGGTGCGTTCCCAGGAGGGATGAGGGGAGGGTCTGTGCAAAGGAATCCCCCATCCCTACAAGGCGAGAGGGGCCCGGCAGCCCGCGGGGAGTTTGGCTGGCTCTCTGCGGTCTCCTCACAAGCTCATCTGAGGCGCTGGGATACTCCAGGGGCACAGGGATCTCCCAGAGGTTCGGCCATCACTGGACCCCTCCCCTCAAGACCTCCTGACAGCCCACCTCAGCTCCCCGGCCCCTTCCCAGAGTCTCCCGGCAAACGCAGAGTCAGCCGGAGCCACCGAGTCTCCACACGGGCCTTTCCCCGTCCCTACTGAGCACCGCGAGCCGACGCGCTTACCTGCTGAGACGGCAGCTCCACATGCAGGGCCCGCGCGGCAGAACCTGGCGGCAGCGCGGCGGCCGGGCCCGGGGGCGGCGGCGGGACCGGGCCCCCGACCGACGCTGAGGAGCTCATTTTGACCCAGCGGCCGCCAGGCGGCGGGACGGGCGCTCCTCCCTCATCAGCCGCTGCCTAGTCCCCACGACCCTCCGAGCCCCTGCTGCCTACAACCCTCCACCCGAGAGGCAGGACGGCTCTGTCCCCGCGCTGGCCGCTGCCTCTGGCTAAGGAAGAGCCATATTACCGCAGTGCAACCCCCTCCACCGGGCTGAGACCTGGCCCACTCATTGGTTCCGTTCTTACAGGGGCGGGACCCAACGGCAGCGAAGGGACTTGCTATTGGGTAACAGGTCAGTCCGTCGCCGGCCGGAATGGGCTGGGGGCAGAGGCGCTCCAGGATGGCCTCAATTGCGTCTGTCAAGCCGGGATGAAATTTGGGGCGTTGCTTCATTTTGTCCTATTTTTATTGGTTCTTTCACTAGTAAGGGGCGGAGCCTCCTGGGGTGCTGCAAAGGCCATTGCTCAAGATTGCTGCCAATTGTCAGAAAGGAAGAGGGGCGGGGTCTTGATTAGGTAGAGCGCGCGCCTCAGCTCCGGAGTCACGTGCAGAAGGCTGGAGCGTCACCTGATTAGTGAGAATCAGTCTTCTGAGCCACTTCCGCCCTGACCTAGTTGTCATAGTAACAGGCCTCCGGTAGAGGGCGGGGACCCTCTAGGCTAGAGCAGAGTCATTGCAGGCTCCTTAAGCAGTCTTTTGCCGAGGTGTTATAATCAACGTGCGAAGACGAAAAAGGAATGCTTTATAGTTTAGCAGAGAGCTACCACGCAGGATGAATGAAACCAGAGTCCTGTCAGGCAGTCCCACCAGTCTTTCACGACCAACTCTACCCTCGAGTCCACGCCCCTCCTCGCACTCCACTAACTAGTACTCTGGAGCCAAAAGGTGTGCCAACTGCCCAGAACGCTGTTTCATCTGTACCGATGGGTTGCTTCTGCTGTCCCTGGAAACCCTTTGCTACTTTTCTTTCCCTAAAACTTGCTTACCCACCAAATCTTTGCTGGGACCTTGAGTTAGAAACCTTTCCTATACCATAGTCCTGATTATTCTATTGCATTGTTTGGTGGTTTGGGGTTTTTGTGGGATTTTGTTGTTGTTGTTTCTTGGCGGGAGAGGGTGTGCGGGGGTGGGGGAGTGCCAGGGATTAAATCCAGGGGCGCTTAACCACTAAGTCATACCCCCAGGCCTTTTTTTTATTTTAAGACAGGGCCTCGCCAAATTGCTGAGGGCAACTTTGAACGTGTGATCTTCCAGCCTCAGCCTACCGGCCAGCTGAGATTACAAGCTTGTGCCACCTCGCCCAGCTGCCTTGTCCTTTAATAGGCATGTTTAACACATACTACCAATCGCTACTCTCAATCCCGAGCGCCCCCCCCCAACACACACACATACACACACACACACACACTCTCTCTCTCTCTCTCTCTCTCTCTCTCTCTCTCTGAATCCCTCTAGCAAGAAGATATTTCCTTATTCATCCCTAGATTCAGTGCTGACAGAGAATAAGGAATTGTTTTTTCGATGTAAACAAACAGCTCAAATGCCTTCTCTTCCATGAAGATTTGTTTGATCTTAATGGTAGAATCTATATGCAATTGCTTCTAAAATAAATAGCACTGAGTCATTCTGCAGGATACTGATGTGCCTTCTCCCCCCAGACTGAATTCCTACACCACCTGGACTGATGTAGCAAAAAGAACACAGTGCTTTAGAGTCAGACACAACAGAAATCAGGCACTTTGAGAATCTTGGCTCTGCCACTCTCTAGGTAACACAAAAAGCCCATTTCCCACTCTCAGTTTTAGTTTTCCCATCTGTAAAATAGTAATAGGGTTGCTATGGGGTATAAGTAAGTAATGTATGTCACAAGCCCCTGTAACAACTGACATATAATAGATGCATTTAAGTTTTGTGGGTTTTTTCCCCAGTGGGCTGAGGATGTAGCCCCGTGCTAGAGCACATGCTAAAAATGTGTGAGCCCCTGGGTTCAAACCAGAGAACCATAAAAAAAAAAAAAAATTAAAAAGGAAAACATACTATCTGAAAAACACCTTGGATCTAATCTCAGAGCTGCATCACACAGATGTCATCGCCTCCTATTCTGAATCATGGTGGGAGCCTAGGTTGTGTGGTCAGGTGTTTGTTGAGAAGAAAGTAGTTATGAATCCCAAATCTCAATTTAGTTCAACTCTGTGGTGCCAGGATCTGGTGGGATTTCACAGAAAATACGTTTCTGTTTCTAAGCTGTATTCATTTCCTGAAGCCACCAAATTAAATTACCACAAAACTAGATAGCTTAAAATGAATTTATTCTTTCAGGGTTCTGGAGGCCAAAAGTCCAAAATCAAGGTGTCAAGGTGCTTTCTCAGAGGCTCTAGGGAAGAATCCTTTGTTGCTCTTCTATCCACTGGTGGCTCCAAGAATTCCTTGGCTTCTGTCTACATAATCTCTTCCCCTATCTCCACATGAGCTTCTCTTCTTCCTGTGTCTTCTTTCTCTTATAAAATATTTGTTATTGGATTTAGAGCCCACCCAAATAATCCAGATTTCATCTTGAGATCCTTAATTGAATTATATTGGCAAATACCCTTTTCCAAATAAGGTCATATTCACAGGTCCCAGGGGTTAGAACAGAGTGTGCCATCATTCAGCCGACTGTACGAGTTAAGAAACTGGGCCTAGAAAGAGTGCACAGAATTACTTCCTCCTTTAGGAGGATCCCTTGTGAATAGTAATTGACACTCAACAAATGTCCAAGAGAGCTTCTCTATGTCAAACCTTTTGCTAGGTGCTGGGAAACCCAAATCCTAGAGGAGCTGCCCACTCCTTGTTTGAAGATCCGGTAAGTATACAAAAAGTGATACTCCAGTTGCTCAGTGCTGAATTGGAAGGAAGCCCAGGGGCAATGGGAGCCAAAAGAAAAAATAGTTGAGAGTCAGATTTCACAGTGGAGTGGAGACTGAAGGATCAATTCTCTCTACAAGATTTTATTGAGGTTCAACTCTGCACAGGCTGACTGCTGGTTGCTGGAAATGCAGGCTTCAAGTACACAACCCAACTCAGACATACTACAAAAATTAGAAGACCTGGAACTCCCACCCCTGGAGACATGGGGAGAAATCAAATAGCCTATTGCCTGCAAAACATTCAAGAAAAGGTTATAAACTATCTTGTACATAGTAAGTGTTCAATAAACATTACTTGTCATTATTTTCATATGGCTTATTCTAAAAATGTTTACATTATTTGGATTTGAATCTATTTTATTATATGACTATTTTAACATAAAACTAGTTTAAGCCACTTACAAGTGAAACTTAATCCCCACATTTATACATTAATGCTGTTTGGACGTAGGGTCTCTGGGAGATAATTAAGATTACATGAGAGAATGAGAGTAGGCCCTCCATGATAGTGTTAGTGGCTTTCTTTGCCATGTGATATGCTCAGCCATGTTATGATGCAGCAAGAAGGCCCTTAATAGGTGCCAAGCAAAAGCTGGAGCCAAGCTTTTAGACTTCCCAGCCTCCAGAACCCTTTGCCAAATAAACTTCTGTTCTTTATAAATTAGCTGGATTCAGTTCTTTGGTTACAGCAACAGAAAACAGATCAAAACAGTACTGAAATCATTACGTACGCAGGGCCAAATAACCAAACCTACCCCAATCCACTTTGCTTCCTCTTCCTTTTCCCACCTTATGGGCCTAATACATTGGGTAAATAAGAGTAATAAAGGAAAGGTTAATATTTTAATATCTTGAACTTAATTAAATTAACTCTATCTTCTTCCTTTCAATAGAGCTCTTTCTTCCGTTCATTTACTTGCTTAGTAATGATACCTTTGCCAAGTGGCCGGCCTTCTTCATTTTAAGAAATAATGCAAATAGAATTCCTGACTGAAAGGAGTTCACAGATCCTTTCAGTATAAAGTGCTAGGTGTAATAATTGAAATGACATATAAAGTATTATGAAAGCACATAAGAGGAAGTTCTAACTGCAGCCTGTTTTCCAGGAAGGCTTCCTAGGGGAAAAAGAGTATTCTAGGCAGAAGGAACAACATAAGCAGAGGCTCAGAGCAGAGGACATGGCATTAGCATAGTCTAATGTGGCTGAAACAAAGGCTGCATGGGACAGTAACCGGCTAAGAGGCTGGAAGAAGCCTCCAGTGCCAGTTGAGAAGAACCTGACTACCTGGCTGAAGAACTTGAGTTTGAAGTTGGGCAACAGGAAGTCACTTTTAGAAAGATCACCCAGGCAGCCCTGGAGAGGCAGCTTTGAAGGGGAAGGACTAAAACCAGAGTTTTGCAGAAGGCCAAACGAGAAATATAAAACCCCAAAGAGGCAATTCCCCCAAAGAATCCAATCCACAGAGCACAGGCCAAGGGGCAGGTCCCTGGGCAGCGTTTCTCCTCCTTTTCCTCCAAGGTCACTTTCTTAAAAACTCTTCCCAGAGCTGAACTAATTGTGGCCTCCTCTGGGCTCCCCGCATCTGTGTGATTTCTCTTCAGTATGTGTCTCCATGTGCCTAGTCCTATGGGATAATTTATTTGTTGCTCTCTCTCTTCTTTGAACCTTTGCTTTTGATTTCTCTCTGAATCTCTAGTGTCTTGATGTAAAGGACATAATACAAACACCAGGAAACCTGGAACAAGTCTTCAGTGAGAAATTGACTGAATGTAGTCAGTGGATAAATGTTTGCAGAAATAAATGTCGGGGTCACTCAGAGGCCTCCTAAGGAAGTCACCTTTCCATTATTTAACAAAATGCCTGAGATAATCAGTCAAGGAAAAGCTCGATTTGGGATCAGGATTCCAGAGATTTCAGCCCATGGTTACTTGGCCCTGTTGTTTTGAGCCTAGGACAGCACAGTATATCACGGTGCGAGCATGTGACAGAGGAGGCCCACTCACTTCATGGCAGCTGGGAAGCAAGAGAGAGAGGAAGCGGGTAGGATCCAAATACCCACTTAAAGGGCGTGTTCCCAGTGACTTGACTTTCCTCTACTAGGCCCCCACCTCCCAAAGGTGCTACCACCTCCCAGTGATGTCAGGGGTTGGAGACCAATTTCGCGAACATTCAGATTCAAACTATAGCACCCCTCTAGCTCCCTAACTGGAACAGCCCCAGAGGGAGGAAATAAACTCTCTTTGGGTTGTCACACAAAACTTGTAGCAAAGCTGAGACAAAGACTTGGGTCTCTTTTCCTCGAGACCAGGGCTTTTTCCTCAATTCCAGAGGTGTTGCTTTCTTTTCTTTGTTTCTGTTCTTTTCTTTTCCTTCCTTCCTATCTTCCTTCCTCTCCCCACCTATTTCTTT